GTGTTTTTGTATTTTTAAATTTTTTTGTGTATTTTATAAATTTGTTAGTGTTGTATATATTATAATTTGTTAGTGTAATCATATATAAAATTTTGTTAGTATTTTGATAATATAATAATTTTTGTTTGTTTTGGTATTTTAAACTTTTTTTGTGTTTTTTGTATTAGAAAAGTTTTCATGTGTCTGTATATATTTTAGAATTTGTTAGTGTTATTGTATATAAATTTTTGTTAGTATTTTCATATATGGAATCATTTTTTTGTGTTTACGTCTTTTATACATTTTTTTGTGTTAGTATATATTTAATAATTTGTTAGTGTCATTATATTTAAAATTATATTAGTATTTGTTAATATATATATATATTTTTTGTGTTATTAGATAATATATTTTTTAGGAGTTTTATACATTTTATACTTTTGTGGTGTATTTTTATTGTTTCGATGCTTAAATTGTGCGTTGCAACGCACGCGGCGACGCGTCGTTTTTTCTTAGTAATAATCGTGAGGAATCAGGTCGCGTCGCGCTTCCTCCTCGAGCTGCAGTGCCTCTTCGAATCGAGAGGCACTAAGGGTTCCGTCGGCGGCGACGCATTCATCAAAGTGGCGGTCGATGACAGCACATTCGACAGTTGGTGTCGCGAGGTCGACGCGAATGCTGTCTCGCTGCAACGCGCGACTGACGGATCGCGTGACGCGCGGGAGGTTTACAGTTGTGGTGGACCGTTTCACTCGGTTGACCAGTCGTCGTTGTGGTATTAGTATATTACGACGACGCGGCGTTTTCTTCAGCTCTGTCTCGGCGCTTCTCTGCGACCTGTCGCCTGCGGCGGCGCGCGGAATGAGGCTAACGCCGCGCCGGCGCATACTTCGACGAGATCGGTCGCCAGTGGTGGTGGTGGTGGTATGTTGTCCGTCTCGCGGTGGCGAGTAGTCGATGTTGTGACGCGTCTCGTCGCAGCAGCAGCAACAGTAGGCACTTGTTCAACGATGGACGGTGTCACCAAATCAATGCGTTCGATGATGACGCGTGCTTGCTTGACGATCGGCGTAGCGGAGGCGACGGGGCGGCTCGCTCGTAGTGGGCGTCCAGTACGTACAACCTTGCGGAGCCTGCCCACAGATACATGCGCTCTCGACGCAGTAGCAAACGATCTCGCAGGCATCTGAAGAGCGGAATGTGGTGACGGTGTCACCAAATCTATTCGTTGGAGTATAACGCGTGGTAGCCCAACGCAGTGCCCATGCAACGTGCGAGGTGAC